TCACATCAACCACAGGGTCATTCATGGCACAGTACCTGGCGCTGCTAGCAACAAGGACCAAGGCATCCCCTGTGGAATGTGCAGGTGCAGTAATGGCTGTTAAGCATACTGAAGGTGTGTTGTTGGCTGCAGGAACACAAAAGGGGTCACAAATGGCCTGCAAGAATGATTCAACTGCTTTTTGGAGGCTGATCACAGCAATTTTTTGTTTGAGGCTGGGTATTTTTGGTCTGACTTTCTTTCGTCCTTTGGATGCAGTTTGTGCCTGGCTTTGTACCCCCCCCCCATTTTTGGTGATAAGAACTGTTGCCTCTGTTACACTTGTTTGTCTTTTTTCGTGGGGAGTATTTGATCCCCACTGACACAGCCTTGGTTGAATTCAACAGAGTGTTAGGTCAGGGTTGAAGTGTGGAATTTTGCTGTCAGGTGCGCATGCAGCTCTGTGAATGTAGAATTATGAAGATGGGAAAGACTAAGTGTATATCTCAACCCCCGAGGCATTCAGACACTGAGAGAAAACAAACCGACTTAGAATTTGACAAGAAAGTTCATCTGATGGCTTTTATTTCTACACACAAGTCCCTGAAATGATGGGTTAACTTCACCTTCAATCTCATTATGGCTGACTCGTGAGTAAAGTCTCTTTGGTCTTTTTTTGCCTCCTCTGTGGTTTGCATCACGTACCAATGACCAGATAGCATGCTTGTTGACTGCCCTGTGGTGAATGTTGTCTGGCAGAACAACCCATTTTTATCCAGAGGGTAAATTTTGGTCGTTTTTCTTGTTTAATCAACCGCTGAAATGCAACCTTGTACATTTGTATCGGGTATCATTGCTACAGGGTTCTTACTTTACATATTGACCAATATTGTCTTTGTACAGATATTGTACGATACATATCAGAGCTTGGATACACGTTTGACTAGTGTCAAGATTTTTGTTGTCCTTTTTGGGGTTGTGTATGTGCGTGGGCTAACCTTACAGACCTAGTGTGGACTTGTGAACAAAAGATGTCCACACGATTCAGGAAAGGAAGATGTTCTCTGGACTAACACACGTCCACAGGACATTTCCCCTTCTCTGAAGAAGTGTAGAGGCATTTTGGGGTAGGGGTCATGCTTCGTGAAAGGAAGAGGAGTAGTCAAGGAAACCTTGTACAAAAAGCCAGCTGAAAATCGTGTTCCCAGTTCAAGAAAAACAATTTTTGTCACCGAGGTTTTCTTAACTGCACGAAAAGAAAGGAATGTCCACAGTTGGTATGTAAGGTACATATAAGTGGTGGATGGGTGTGTATGCGCGTGGGACATGGAAAATAATGAACCTTGACGCAGGGTTTTATTCTGACACGGACTCGGTGAGCCTCAAGGTAAAAAATCCCTCCTTTTTTTTTCTTTTTTTTTTTTTCAAAAGTATGTTGACTGGATCAAGTTCATGGCAGGTGCGACATGTCACAATAGTGTTGCATTATCAGCTTTCAGTGACAGGAGCCTGGATGTTGAAATATAACCTGGCCATTGTTAGAGAAGCCCATCAAAATTAACTAAAGGCCAAGCTTGACAGCACAAACTAAAGTGTGAAGTCTGGGTTTTGTTTTCTTTCAAGCAGTCAGATGGTAAGCAAATGATAACCTTCATCAGGACCTCTCTACCAAACAGTAATTTCTACAAGCATGGTTACCCATTATCGTAAATTTTCTGTTACCTGGAAGTTTCCCGTGGCATATTAAAAACCTTGGTGCAGCATGTTTTATCTGCTCCTCAATCCTCATGCTTCACGGCCTGTATCAGAAGAATTTCTATTCATCTTACACAGAGAGGAGTTTATTGTACAGTGTACATTCCCTTTAGACTAGGGCACAACAGATCACAGAAACACATTTATTGCCTGCCATTTGACCATGATTGAATCCATAAAACCAACTCAATGGTTGCTGGAACTTGGAAGCTCTGTGTCCTTGCTTTATGCTGGAAGCATGGAGGAATGTCATGGTAATTGGGGGGAGGGGGGTAGTGAGAGCCAAAGTCTTTGCCCTTTAAGGTTGGCAGTCCGTCATTCATCTGTGTGTGAAAACGGGATTCATCAGCCGCTTCCTGCTGGTAAAATATCACACCCTCAGTTGATTAGCAGTAACTGTTGTGGGGTCTTGTTATCATTGGGCATGCAAGGGTTATTGTGACAAGCCAGTTGGAATTACAGGCGGGCGGGGGGAGATTGAAAGTGCATTCCCGCCGTGCCCGCATCGCTTGGGATCGCAATGATATGGCTGCAGTGCATTCAACTGAAAGTACTCATGAAAATGTGCATACAGTGCCTGTGTATTGTGAGCTCCCTATACTTACATGTAGTGTTATGTTTGACATTTTCAGGTAAGTTTCTCAGTGAAAGCAATGTCTCAGATAAGTAGTCTGTCTATGTCTTGTTCAGAGATTTTAGACGGGGTGATTGGAATGAAGCAGGAGAATGTTTACATGTTGTTTTCACCGAGCCATGATTGAGTTAACCATATAACACACTTTATAGATTTTGCTCATATTTACAGACCATCTAACTTTATTAGACTTGCTTCTGTGCATTATCGAGTACACATTATACCGGTACATGTAAGTGATTGTACATGTACATGTATGTTGCCAGGAACTTTACTTGTTGGGGTTGTGTATGACTTTTCATGTCTTGCAGCTGAGACTTCCCCAGTTTGTTTTGCAATATCAATCTCAGCTATGATGGGGTGCATTCCATGGAACCCCCAGAGCTCTTGTTGTCATTCCTCCCAACAGGCAACAAGTTCCAGTAGAGCTGCCTCTCCTTGGCCTCATTTGAATATCAATGCCCTGTTTACTTCCTGTGGGAGATTACAGACACCCCCTCCCAAACCAGTTCAAAGGGCAAATACCCTAATCTGGGTGTGATGAAGGTTATGGAAGCTAATTCCCAGTTCCTAGCTGTTGGTATTCAAACAACTAGGGGAAGCTTGATTTCTCTCAGTAAATCTTACACTTGCAGGCCACTTATAACCTGTTTATATTACAATTGTAATATGCAAGGTATTCCACATCCTTTCCATAAATTTTGAATCCCATTAGAGACAATTGTCACCCCTTTGATTGAAAACTCGGGTGACAGGATGTGTGAAATGGCAACTTGTGAGAAGATATATCTGCTTCAATAAAAAGAAGAGGAGCAAGGTATAAAGCACCAAGCCCTGGAGCGTATGTGTCAATACATTGCTCACAGTTTCAGTACGTCAGGAATAGATACTTTTCTGCGTGTATGGTTTTGATATGGGGAATTGATTGATGACACAATCATCCTAAGCCCTCCCAACACCCCTCCCCCCCTTTGATAACTATGATTGATCCCCTCTTCACAGTCCATTAAATAAATAACAAGCCTGGGTCTTGTGTCCTATGGCCTCTTCTCCCCCTCCCCCCCCCCACAGACCTGCTCATTAAGTGTGCAAGGAAACATATTCCCACGACTTCATTTTCTCAGATTCCTGCAGCGACCAAAATCTTATAGTTGTTTGTGTCAAGTCTACATTGTTCGCTGTAACTGCAGTCTTAATATGTGTTTGTCATATGGAAACATGTTGGGCACGAGACAGCTCTGCAATGAGCAACTTATAAAGGTCAACAATTTCCTCCTGCTTAAGAATGAGTCAGTTATGGAGTGAGAGAAAAGAGTTTTTGTTTTCTTCTTTTTCCTGTGCATGTGGTTTGCACGGTATTATTGACACCTAACACTTTCAGGGGGGGGTTTCATAGCATACATGTAAATCATGTTTTCTTTTTCCCTGGGCGGTGTACTCTGCAATGAATAGTGACAAGCTAAGCCTTTGGGAGTGTGTTGCATAATGGGTGTGAATGGGTCAGAGTGGAGCTTGTGTAAATGCACATTGTCAAACGCAATAAGATCACCAATGGACTCAATTTGATAAATTGATCTACAATCATGTAGTGTTGTTTTGCAGAGGGATAGTTGCAGCTGGCCTGGTGTGTGGGTTTGATTTCATTGTATCCACAAAGATGTTGGAAAATTGTCTGGTTAGTTTATGCCTTGTGAATATCTCACCCATGAGATAGATATCACCCAAGGGAATTGTGTTGGCATTTGAGACTTAAATTGTTACTGTTATTGTGTTGTGTCCTCATTCAGTGTCAAGTGTCTTCATTACAGTGCTCGGTTGGAAATCAAACAAACCAGGTCTCTCCTGGTCGTTGACTTTCAACCCACAGCCTGCTCTAAGTAAACAGGTCAAAGGGGGTGTTGGAGGACTCACTCA